CACGATTTACAGTACACATACGATCACATTTTTTTTTTTGGTATAAGATTCACTTTATGTTATTTTCCTGTAAACAGCTTGGTCAATATTTGAGACGCTTTGTCGTTTTTGTAACAAAAGACAACAATTTTTATTAGGATTCAAATGGTCATGTATCATCTTGTAATTCTTGTTCATGACACATTCTAATGTTATGTACATCTTTTATGAACATAGTAGTATGGATTGTTTCTTTTAAATCTCTTAATTATGAGATTTATACATTGATTTTCAATTGATTGTATCGTGTTTTCAATGTTGTTTCTAAACAAACATTGCATTCTCTAATAAATAAATAAAATATACATGTAATTTTTTAACAAATCATACCAATTGTTTTGTATATTGATATTACTATATATGAGGGTTTTTTATTAACAAAATTATTTGAGGGGTTTTCTCATTATGTTTTTAGTTCAAGGTTTTTTCATTGAAATCTTTTAGTTGAAGAGTTTTAATATTAATAATTTAGTTAAGAGGTTTAAAATAGATCAAACAATACTTGAGGGGTTTTCTCACTAAAATCTTTATTTTTAATGAGTCACGAATTCATAAAATTATGTTGACTCGGCTGAATCAACTATAAAAACAAGTCAAATTTAAGAGTCGTTTAAAAACTTTAACCACCATTTATTGTAGTCGTTAGAATTAAAACGACGCGTTTTGAGATTAGGAAAAAAAAATTTCCAAAATTTTCAAATCAAAACATAAAGTATGAATTGCCTCAACATAAAACGCTTGTTTAAATTCTTATAACTCGACAAGTCTTATAGCTCGTCATTGTGGTCTCAATCTTCAATGAAAGGTTGTGGAATAGGATTCTTTAGCAGTACTTCTCTTTTTTATGAAAAAATATATCGAGTGTATTTTGCCGGAAAACCTGGAAGTGCTACGCAGTATAAGACATTGTTGTCAATGTTGACAAATGATATTTCTCTTCTTAGGATAATACAATATAGCTGTACCTGTAGCCAAAAACTATCTCCCAAGAACAAGAGGAGCATAAGTATTTCACATTTTCACCACTTGAAAATCCACC